GAGAGGTGAGCGGGCTTCGCGGGCCAAACACGGCCCGTATTCCTTCCTGTCTCATACTGGTGGGCCATCCATCGTTTGGGCCTTGCCTGATGCTGTTGGGCTGCAGACAAAAGAAGATTGGCAGCGCTATAGGCTCTCTCGATGGGAATAGTGCGGGCTGCAGGTAGTAATAGCTTGGGACTCCTTGAGCACCGGAAAAATTGGTCCATCGCTGAGATGCAGGGATGGTGACAGCGGTTCACCGGGAAAAGCAATGCCTACGACCGAAGCTCACCGGTTCTGACAAAATCGACCGACTGGAAGTGCGTCTGGATGAGTAGAATCTAGTGGTGCCATTCGTTCAAAGCGAATCGCTCAAGATCGCCCGAAAATCGGAAGAAGAAACCGGTGTTGACTCCAAAAAATCCTAGATCCATAAACTTTGACCGGTAAATCAACGACTTTCCTGGTGGAATTTTTGCAAAATATTTTAAGAGTAGAACGAGCATGAGGAGAGCTTCACGATGGTGTAAGCCTTTTTCAGATCGGACAACTTTTGTCGACGGCCGGCGGCGGAGGCGGCGGCGGCCGGCGGCGGAGGCAGCAGTTTCCGGCGAAGATCAGTACCTGGAGATTCGTCACGTCGAGAGGATTCTGGTGGTACCCTCGGATTATCCATAACCCTCACGGATCGCCGGGAAATGTATTTGAATGATCGATTTTGACCAAATTTTTGCTAGATCTGGAAACTTTGACCGCAAAATTGACGACCTTCCTGGAGGAATTTTTCCATGAAATTTTAAGGGTAGAAACACCTTGAGGAGATCTATCCGATGATGTAAACAATTTTTTGATCGAAGCACGTTTTCTGGCGATCGGCGGTGGAGGTGGCGGCCGGCGGTGGCGGCGGCCAGTGGAGAAGAGGAGGTTTTTTGAATTTTTTCAGTCGAAACTCCACTTGACTTTTTGACGGGTCCCACAGACGGCGCCAATGATGTCAATATATTTCACCCGGTCTCCTTCAACTCGAACGGCCTCCGTACCTGCAGAACCCAACGCCGGAGGTGGCCCCGACGTCGGGCCTCCGATGCCTAAGTCAGTGCTCAGATCAAGAGAGAGAGTAAATGTGTAGTATGGAATGAGTAAAGAATTAGAGAATGAGGTACCTTAGCCTTCCTTTTATAGGGGGAGTGTACCTTTGTGGGCTCAAGTTGGGTTTGGCCCATATCGTGATGCTTAGTCCATACGTGGGCTTATCTTCTAATATATATTCGTTTTCTCCATTAAACCGGGTGTAGTATAATATCATATATCATCTAGTCCCCCCACTCTGGTCGAGTAAGCATAATTCGATCCAAGAGTGAAATGCCTCTTCGTGTTGTTTTCTTCAACTTGCCACTAAGATCGAGCACCGAAAGTCGAATGACCATTGAATGACCACTGAAATAACCTCCACATGAGTATTGAGATTTCAAGATCAAAAACCAAAAGACCGCGAAGGTCTAGAACTGAATGATCAGACGCCAGGGTAAAAAACCGAAAGATTTCTCAATAGAGACAAGAACCTAATGACCTGCCACTGAGGTCGAACACCGGAATTCGAACGACAACTGAGGCCAAAAACTGAATGATCTGCTGTTGAGGTCAAACATCGAATGACCCTGAGGTCGGAGGCCGAAAATTGAATATCCACTGAGGTCGAAGTCGAGTGATCCACCGTTGAGGTCAAAAAATACATTCGACAAACAAGAATCAACAACCAACCTGCTCAATCAATAATGAATATACTCGACCCACCACTGAGGTCGAAAAATACATTCGACAAAACAGAATCAACAACCAACCTGCTCGAGCAATAATCAATATACTCGACCCGTCATTGAGGTCGAAAAATAAATTCAACAAACCAGAATCAACAACCAACATGCTCGAGCCATAATGAATATACTGGACCCGCCACTGAGGTCAAAAAATAAATTCTACAAACCAGAATCAACAACCATCCTGCTCGAGCCATAATGAATATACTCGCGCCTCCAGGCCGGGTGGCCTCATGTTTGGAACATTCCTCATGGGTGGGCAAGTGGGAAGACCAAACCCACCATGACTAAGGCCTCCGGGCTGGGTGGTCGCTTGTTTGGAACATCCCTTGGGGTGGGCAGGTTGGTCGTATACTCGCGCCTCTGGGCCGGGTAGCCTCCTGTTCGGAACATTTCTCGTGGGTGGGCAAGTGTGAAAACCAAACCCACCATGACTAAGGCCTCCGGGCTGGGTGGTCGCTTGTTTAGTACACCTCTTGGGATGGGCAGGTTGACCTCATGTTTCGAACATTCCTCGTATTGGCTGGGCAAATGCGAAGACATGGATAGCTCGAGCAGACCTCAGAGGTAGGTCGATGATTTCCACTTGGTTCTATTTGTATGGTATTATTGTATATTTGTTCCTAACCCCAGTGGCAGGTTGAGGGAGTTCATTGTGGATAATTCGAGCAGTGTGAAGACAAAATCCACTACGACTAAGGCCTCCGGGCTGGGTGGTCGCTTATTTTGTACACCCCTTGGGATGGGCAGGTTGACCTCCTGTTTCGAACATTCCTCGGATTGGGTGGGAAAGTGCGAAGACATGGATAGCTCGAGCAGACCTCGGAGGCAGGTCGATGATTTTCACTTGGTTCTATTTGTCTGGTATTATTGTATATCTGTTCCTAACCTCAGTGGCAGGTCGATTCACTTCAAGGTCGCTTAGAGTAATTTTTTTGGGGGGAAGGGGGGGGGAGACTAGATGATTTGGTTATAATAGGGTATACCAACCTAAGTGCTTATTACTCTACCAGACGACGAGTCGAGTCGTTTCTCTTAATCGAAGCAACGTCCATAGGAGAGTCGACCTCTTTAAGTTGACTCTTTTAAGTCGACTTCCCTAAGCTCTCTTCTTTAGGACTGGCGACGCCTGCGAAGGGGAAAGTTGGCTTCCTCAATTCGACTCCTCTAAGTCGACTCCCGAAGTCGACTTCCACCAAGAAGACGAGAATTATTCGAGGTGGTGAAAGCCTCCCGATGTATTACTGCATGCAAACCCTCAAGTCGACCTCTTGGCACTCAAGGTCGACTCCCCGTGCCTCGACTCTCGAGGCCTCCGACGATTCAAGGCACTTCAGCACATCTTGATAGGTCCTCTAAACAAGGGCGAATCTTTATGAGATAAGAAAAAATTTGGCATTGACTAGGAGATGAATGGGATGCGAACCGACCAGGGTATTTTGGGTACTTCATTTAAGTCGGCCAGGGCATTTTGGGTATCCCAAGTAGGTATTTTCTTCTATATAAATGAGTTGAGATAACCTGAAACCCTAACATACACTCTCTCTATTCATTTTATTACTGCTGCTGCTCCCACTGAACAGAGCTCTCTTCATCTCTCTCATACTGACTTGAGCTTCGGAGGCTCTACGCTAGAAACACTTCCGGCGTTGAGTTCTTGCAGGTGTGTTTGGAGGACTAGCATCGATTTGGAGGCGGTTCGAACAGATC